AATTCTGTTCCTGGTGAGGGTTGCAGATGGCCAACCTATCACTGTGTCCTCGAGTGGCCTTTTTATGCAGAGGGAGAAGAAGAGCTCTCCTTTGTCCTCTTGTAAAAAGCCACTAATTCCATCCTTAGGAGCATGCCCTCATTATCTAATTTAATCCTAATTATCTTTCAAAGACCCATATCTCCAAAGACCATTTCATAGGGGGTTAGGGCTTAAAAATATGAATTTTGGGGAACACAAACATTCTATCCCATAACACTGTATAAGTTTCCAAACAAATATAACTTTATATGCATTTTTCTTGGTTTTATAAATATATATTGTAAATACATTATATGTAGAGTAAATATCATATATTTACTCACCAAATTCTTACTGAGCATTTGTACTACAGTCAAGAAATATAATTGCGAACAAGATAGACTTGGTCCGTGGTCTCACAGTGCTTATTGTTTAATGGGTAGATGAACAATAAACTAGGGAATCTTTTTTCAATACTTTTATTAGTTGTTGATGGATCTTTATTTTATTTACTTCTTTATTTATATGAGGTGCTGAGGATCAACTCAGTGCCTCACACATGCTAGGCAAGAGCTCTACCACTGAGCCACAACTCAAGCCCCGGAAATCTTTATATTTCAAATTATGTAGCCAGTGTGAAAAGACTCAAATTGTGAATCGCAAATATGAAATGGTTTTATTTTTTCCCAATAACCATTACCATTGTCTAGAAATCCTCTTGCTCTCTGGATAGTGCATTCCCTTATGAGCATCCAAACTCCAGACCCATTTTGCAGTCACTTTTGATAATTAATAAATACAATCTCATTCCAAGTATTAAAATTTAGAGCCTGACCATTTAAAATATTTAACCTCCTGTTTAATTCATAGCTCTTCCTGTTTTCCTGGTGCAGATGAGCATGTGGCAACAACAGCTTTTGGGGAAGAAGGTGATGATGTCACTCTTCTCTGAACTCTTTCTCTTTCCAACTGAGGATGAAGAAAGGGAAGGAATGATCTCTGCAAGACTGTCCATAAAGAATTGGCTGTTCTCTCTTCTATTTGTTGCTACTTCAGTAATAGTTCTTCCACTGTGTCAGGTGTCCAGGTGTCAGCTCTATTACACATTGTGCATATTGCTGTTTTCTGTGGGCTTCCCTTGAGCACTCTCTAAACTAGGAGATTTCAGGCTCAACTTCTTTTTCCTGCACACCTGCATCATAAGTTACAATCTAACATATAGCATTTTGTTGTTGAGGGAACCTCATCTGGAAGAACTTCTTGAGGAATGCCAGCAAGAACCTTAGGCCTCAACCATTTTGTGTGCCAGCCAATTGAAGCACACATGTAGAGCTTAACATTTATAATTAAAGCAGAAAGGTAATGCAGATATCTCCCATCCTGAAATTCCTCTTTTAGCACCAACCATCTCTCTCCTCTTTTCTTTCATCCCCAGGGACATCAGAGTCTCAGTCAGGACAATGATTCGGTGAATTCAGACAGGTTCTCAAGTTGGGGAGAGGAGTAAAGAATAATTTGTTGCACCTTAAGTTGTGGGAAAGGAGTCAGGAACAAGCTGAACGGTCCTATCTTCAGCTGGAGAGAGATAATGGATGGTTTCGATCTACGATCAATAATAGTCATCCATGGATTTATTAGATACTTGGAAAATTTCAAATACCCATTTTTATTGTAGAATTTATGATAAAATGATTAATATTAATAAAGGATTTTCAAGAGTAAAAATAGTAATATTTTAGGGGTACAACTGGGTTCTGATTGTGAGTATCTTTCTCATCAGCTATTGGGTCTGAAACTCATGAAACACAGGTCTGACAGTGTCATATGAGAACACCTGAAAAGCACCTTGTCTTTACTTAGTAATCCAGATATGATGAATACTGGCCCTGAAGTGGCTTTCCTTAACATTGTAAGTAATGTCATCTGTTGAGAGCCATAGCCGAGCCAGAATGGCACCTGGCATTTTACCAGAAGGAGTGGTTGAGAGGTGACCAGCGAGCCATTAAGATGATGATAATTAAGTTAAGCTGTGTATAATTGTTGTGACTGGATGATGCTGGATTGAAATAGGCTGTGTGTTCAGTTGTATACGGACCTCTGCTATCCGGTGGGCGCCCGTTGAGTTCTCCGGGAGCCGGGTTGAGAGTGGAGAGAGTTCCTGGGGAGAGTGTGTGGAGTGCCGGTGAGAGTTTGGGCAATAAAGTAGTTCCTGTTTGAACCTACAAGTGCCTCGTGGCGGCTCGGTTATTTTGTGCCCAGCCAGACTGCAGCAGTCATCTAAATTTTCTTGGCTATCCTGGGTTTGTCCTGAAACATGCTGTTTTCCCTTGATTCCAAAATGATGGTTCCCTTTTCAGAAATATAGTGTGTGTGTGTTTTAAGGTGGTACTTCTTCTTAGACTTACCTGCTTGAAATCATATAATAATACTATATAAATTAAGAAGCTAATGTAGTCTTTTATGCACTTATTGAGTGTCTGCTAGATGCCAGGCACCATGCTAGGGGCCAGAGATAAAGCAGTGAACAGAGCAGTCATTATCTCTTTTCTCACAGAGCTTAGCACTTAAGGAGGTATCCCTGTTTTATGAATGAAGAAAAATAATTCTACATCTTTACTTTTTATGATAATTAATTTTTAATTTAAAAATTGTACATGAAAACATGTGAAAATGCAAATCAATACCATAATGAGGCTGGGCGCCTGTGGCAACTCAAGGGACTGAGGCAGGAAGATTGCAAGATCAAGGCCAGCCTTGGCAACTTAGTGAGACCCTCAGCAACTTAATTCAGTGGTAAAGAGACCCTGGGTTCCATCTCCAGTACCAAAAACCAAAGCAAGCAAAGAATAAAACGATAATGGGATACTATTTCACACCCATTGAGGCAGTTATTTTTTAAAAACAGAAATCAAGTATTTGCAAGAATGTGGTACATTGTTGGTGGGAATGTAAAATGGTGTAGCAAATATGGAAAACAGTTTGTCATTTTTTCAAAAAGTTAGACATTAAATCATCATATGATCCCCCAATTTTACTCCCTGACATCTGCCCCAGATAATTGAAAGCAGAGACTTGGTCAGATAATGGTTTGCTGATCTTCACAGCAGCAATTCTTA